CACTCTGGATCACCCTGGATGTCCCACACGCAACGCTCAGTATCCATACACAACACACACATACCCTACGCTACAGCTATGGCAGCGCTAGCTGCCACTRCCCTACCGCTACACTACGCTTCTCTGCCCTCTTCGTCTTCGGGCGCACTGCAGACCTCCTCGCACAAGCTGCTGAGGCAGCGCTTCCGCATGGCATCCGCAGGAATGAATGAATGGCTGGACGCAGCCTCTTGATTTATACTTCTGCGCCGYGTTGGTMTGCCCTGTGTCCCTTGGCACTTGGTGCACACAGTCCCAGACGGTACTTGCTGGACAGGACCGGACTGCCTAACTGGGACTGTTGACTCAGCAGGGTGGCCTACCACCACTTGACCACTTGCCTCTGTTCAACGTAGGCTCACTCCGAAAGGCCACTTCTAGAGACCTCTGACTTGGCCTTTCGGTGCTGTAGCAGCTACGACTTTGCCCCTTYAGGTARGTAGCAGCTACGACCTTGACCCTTCAGACAACCTACAGCTACRGCTTYGGAWCTGTCTAGACTCCTACCCTACAAGTCTACAGTTYGATTCCCTTCTAAGCTGTGACCTACGACAATCTACCTACCACTGGCGTTCCTACAGGTCGCAGGTTCAAATCTACGGGTTGGCATCAATACTGTACACAGGTAAGACGGGGAACTAGGGATCGAGCCCTGGGATCTGCATTCGCTACTGCGAATTGGTGAATACCGTTTCACTTTTGATGTATTTTACTATTTTCTGAGAATTCCGATTCTGAGTCTGTTCTTCTGCAATTCTCTGTGTTTTCTAAGCGTGTATGCTATTGATCTACCGCTGACGTCCATGCATGTGCCATGTGCTTGCCTCCTGAGTCCAAGTCTGGGTCCTTGTGCTTAGTCTGTTGGCTGTGTGTGTGTGGCTGTGCCTCGGACAAGAACAAGGAAGGGAAAGAGAGACGGCCAAAGGCAGGACTGGAAGTTAACGGTGGCTGAATGTTGATGTGTTATTAAAATATAACAACAAAAAGGTTTGTGGGCCAGCAGCCTAACTGAGTTGGTAGAGCACATGAGTGGCATTCAGGAGGTCGACTCTCCACGGCCCCCTGTGGCGCAATTTTGGTTCATTAGCTGAAATAGTTCGCTTACCCCCCCCCTTGGTTGGTCTTGGGGGGGGATGCCCTCCCTCCCATCCAGTGCTAGGGCTTAGGTTCAACCCTGAGGGTGTAGGATCAGCCCTGAGGGGATGGCTCAAGCCCACAGGGCGAGGGGAGCTGGGAACCCATAACTCTAAGCATCCATCTTATATAGACAATACAACTAGAGAACGCCTGGGTGCTTAGCTGGTAGCTAGTGTGAGGTTGTTTCGATATTGAGAGAAGAGAACAGTGTAGGGCATTCGACAAAAAAAAAGCAAAGCTATCCTCCTGTATGAGGCACAGACACATAAGTAGAATTCATTAGTGTAGGGACCCAGTAGAGATTTTCCAGCAATTTGGCAGGGCCTAGAACGGTCTGCTAGCTTACCTGCACTAGGTAATGATGGTCCGTGGCCTGAATGCTGGCGGGTAGTAGTTGAGGTTCAGGAGCCTTTAGATAGGTTTCAGTCTGCAATAATGACCCCGCCAAAAGGAGGGAACACCTGGTAGGCCTAGTGCACCGGAGATAGACGGGTAAAGGCAGGTAGCACCCGGCCGGTAGGTACTAGAGCCCTTGGCTGGTAGGTACTGGAGGCCGGGAGACGGCTAGTATATCATTCCGGTGCAATGAGCATTCAGCTCATTCGCCCGGCAGTCATGCTGCTGCTCCGCCAAGAGGGAAAAGTGGTGGTGGTCCTGGAAGGAGCAGGTGGAGCTGGAGAAGAGTGATGAAGAAGACCTCCATGGCTATGGAGGTGCAATAAGGAGGAAGTAGAACCGTAGAAGTAGTCCTTGGCTATGGAGGAGAGGGAAGGACCTCTAGCTAGGCTATGGAGGAGGAATGAGGTGGGAACAGGGAAGGAGACTAACCTTTGGATATGGTTG